GAGCCCCCAATAAAATGATTTTTTTAAAGTACAATTTAAAGCTCCACCCTTTTTCTTCTCATAAGGACAATGACATAATAGAATATTTCTATCAAGAAGGATAATTATGTCATTTAAGATGATAATGGTACTACACATTGAGCTTAAGAAAGGAAAACAAAAAATGTGAGAAGGCCCTATAACTTGCAGCCCATCAGGGTCCTACAGTAGCATGTTGGCACACAGAAAGGCAGAAAAGGCAAGAGTCTCACCATAGCTGTTCCAGTAAGAGACCAATTTTCTGTGGCAGTAGGAAACCAGTGATTGTACATAAATAAGCTTTTGCCACCACTGTACTTGGCTGAGGGCAGCAATAAGTTGATATGAAATTATTAGACTCATTATTTCTGCCACAAAAAAAAAAGAAAAGAAAACACATTAATCACTTTCAACCCACATTAAAACAAACACCCAAAAAACCAGAAAATGAAAGCCAGCTCCACAAAAGTTCCCCATGAGACCAGATACGTACAAGCTCACATGGTTGAAGACCGCTCCCAGCCAGTCGAAGAGTTCCTGGGCACTGCATGCCACCTCGGGCTCCCCCTGGAGCATGGGGCTCTGCAGCACTGGGCACTGCAGGTCTGTCAGCAGGCTCTGGCTTATTTTTGGCTGGTGCTCCTGAATTTGGTAATTGGAAAAGTATGACATCATCGTTGATTCATCTGCACCTTGAAACACAGCATTTATGGTCACTTAGATATTTTTTAAAAGTTCTGGAAGTACCCGACTCCCATTTAAGATTGATGGGAAGCAGGCAGAACCCTGGATCAAGTAAGATGAAGTTGTGCAAAACTATACTCAAATACAAATCATTTAAGCTGCCTTTTGCACCTTAAACTTGCCAAAGTTCTGCAAACATTCACCTTCTCTCAGACTTTTTCTAGACAGGTCTCACACTTTTAGATCTCTACCAAACCCAAGCCAAACTCACTGCCATCGAGTCAATATTGACTCTAGCGACTCTACAAAACAGAGTAGATTTGCCTGCGTTTCTGAAACTGTAGCCATTTACGGTAGAAGGCCCTGTCTTGTTCCTTAGGAGCAGCGAGTGGTCTACTGCTAACCTTGCAGATGGCAGTCCAATGTATAACCACTCCGCCACCAGGGCTCCTTCTATGGCAGCAGTTCTCAACCTGTGGGTTGCGACCCTTTTGGGGGTCGAATGACCCTTTCACAGGGGTTGCTTAAGATCATCAGAAAACACATATTTCTGATGGTCTTAGGAACAGAGACACCGCTCCTCTGTCTCCAGGCGGGTCCACCCACATACAAGTACCCGGCGTGATGATATCATCCCGCCAACCCCATCACATATACCCAGTACAAATACAGGTGTATATGACAAGGTTGGCGCTATAAGGTACTTATGTGGACCAGTCACACACGTGTAGAGAGCAGTTACTATGTAGAAAGCAGCTGCTGTGTTGAAATTAGCTACTCTGTTAAAAGCAGCAACTGTGTTGAAAGCAGCAGTATTGGAGGTAAAACATTTCATGAATTATAATTACTGGGTAAATGTAAAATCATGTACTGTAAAATCATCAACTACAACAAAAAATATCTGTACCATAGGAACTTAATCTGGATGCTGATCAGTCTTTTTACATTCAGCTGTGGTTGATGTGAATACTGCCCCCTTGTGTTAGTAACAGGTATGTAAAAAAATACTGAATGGTAAACCATAGGAAACTTTAATGAACTGTATTGACTGAACTATGCCATGTATCATCTTTTGTATTATTAAGGCTATTGTTATATATTACTTTCACTAGAAAACCACAATGGATCATGTAGAGAAGAACATTAATAAAAGAAACAGGATCAAGGGGAACGTAACAAAGA